CCTTCAAGGCTAACTGGCGTCTAGTCTCCAAGGAGGTGTCCTTGCTCTCGGAGCTCTGCATCTCTGTGGACACTGCCACATAGTCCTCAGGTTCACACACCACTGTCACTCGAGCGTGGTTTTTGGCTGCAGCTCTCAGTAAGGTTACTCCACCTTCGAAGAACAAAAGATGTATTGATTTTGTATGTCCCTGTCAGCTTATGAACCTCTTTCAAATAAAGCCACTATGCAAATACTTTCATTTTAATTCTTGACTTAAAAATCAGAAAAATAAGCTGGGCGTGGTGACTCACACATGTAATCCCAGAACTTTGGGAGGCTGAGGCAGGTGGATCACCTGAGGCCCGGAGTTCAAGACCAGCCTGGCCAACATGGCGAAACCCCGTCTCTACTAAAAATACAAAAAAAAATTAGCCAGGCATGAGGATGTACGCCTGTAATCCCAGCTACTCAGGAGACTGAGGCAGGAGAATCACTTGAGCCCAGGAAGTGGAGGTTGCAGTGAGCTGGAATTGTGCCACTGCACTCCAGTATGGACAAAAGAACAAGACTTGTCTCAAAAAAAAAAAATCAGGAAATAACCTAGATGAATCTCTGCACAAAAAAAATATAGCGTAGAAAATATAAATGAATTATAGTAATCCCCCAACAAAATCCAATAGAAGTATCTTTCTATTTCCTCAATAATGAAAGTCAAAGTGAAACCTCATTAAAATTTAAATAATCCTCTCCTCTCTGTCTTCTAAAATGGTTTTTCTGACTTACCAATGTCAATTTGCTCCACAGCCTCCTCAACAGTTACACCTGGAGAAGCCACTGTCTTCACAAAGGGATAGAGATTGCAGGCAACAACTCTAAAAGCAAGACGAATTTGGCTGTGATTAAAAACTCCACTGGAGATTTACAGCTATCCAGGGGAAAAAACAAGCCAGTATTTTTAACATGACCAAAAGCCACACAGAACTAAAATATAAACTGTGAGCCTGACCTTTTAGAATTCTAAAGAGTGTGTTAAAAAGTCAGGGTGTCCTGCTGGGGTAGAGCAGAGGTAATTTAGTCAGCAGGTGCTCTCTGGAGCTGGATACACAGTACGCCCTCTCTCGACGCCACACTGCTATGCTACTGTCTGCATAACCTTAGCTACCCAGGACCACCAAGCCATCAAAAATTTATAAAACATTTTAACAGAAGTATAAATTACAAGATGATAGATAACATCCTCATTTTGGAATGTGATCACTATTATCCAGGACATGAGAATTTAGATTCTTTTTCCAGTGGATTGGTACAATGACGAAAACATTGGTGCATTCTAAGGGTGAGACATTTGTTTTGCCTTCAGAGAGGTCATAAAAATGATGGTAGCAGGAATGCCAAAAGAATAATTTAAAATACAGAGGTAGGCTGGGTACCGTGGCTCACACCTGTAATCCCAGTACTTTGGGAGGCCAAGGCAGGTGGATCACAAGGTCAGTAGTTCGCGACCAGTCTGACCAACATGGTGAAATCCCGTCTCTACTAAAAATACAAACATTAGCCGGCTGTGGTGATGTCCACCTGTAATCCCAGCTACTCAGGAGGCTGAGGCAAGAGAATCACTCAAACCTGGGAAGTGGAGGTTGCAGTGAGCCCAGATCATGCCACTGCATTCCAGCATGGGGGAGAGTGAGACTCTGTCTCTCAAAAAATAAATAAATAAATAAAATAAAATAAAATGCAGAAGTAATCTAAAATTAACCATCAGTGAAGTACAGTTCCATCCCCAGGACTGTAGTATGAGGAGCTCTGGGACAGGCCCCCTAGTGAAACAAATCTAACTACTGAAAACTTATTAAACAAACAAACAAACAAACAAACAAACAAAAACAGAAAAACAAGAGGAAGGGAAAGACTTCGAAGCCCATCTTTTTTAGGTCTACGCCCTCCTACTAAAACCAGACAAATGTTGCAAGAAAACTAGAGACCAGTATCTCTTAGGTATCTTGACACAAGATACCTCAACAAAACACTAACAAATTGAATCTAGAAAAATGCAAAGACCACCTGATCATCTCAATAGATGTACAAAAAGCATTTACAAAATTCAACAGCTATTCATATAAAAACACTCAACAAATTAAAAATAGAAGGAAACTTACTGAACATGACAAAGTGTAAGAAAAACTCACAGCTAACATCATACTTGATGGTGAAAGACTAAATACTTGTCCCCTAAACTCAGAAACAAGACAAGAAGCTGGGTGTGGTGGCACACACTTCCCAGCACTTTGGGAGGCCGAGGCAGGCAGATCACCTGAGGTCAGGAGTTCGAGACCAGTCTGGTCTTTCACATGGTGAAACCCTGTCCCTACTAAAAACAGTAGGCTATTTTTATATAGGGGAAGGTGGCACGCGCCTGTAATCCCAGATACTTGGGAGACTGAAGCAGGAGAATTGCTTGAAACCGGAAGGCGGAGGTTGCAGTGAGCCAAGATCACACAATTGCACTCCAGCCTGGGTGACAAGAGTGAAATTCCGTTTCAAAAAAGAAACAAAACAAGAACGTCCATTCTTACCACTTCTACTGAACACTGTACTTGAAGTTCTAGCCAGGGCAATTAGCAAATAAAATATAAGCCATCAGGACTGGAAAGAAAACAGTACAGTTATTTCTATTTGCGGATGAATCATCTAGTATACAGAAAATCCTAAGGAACTCACAAAAAATAACTCCTTAGCATGAATAAATGAGTTTAGCAAAGCTGCAGGATATATGGTCAATATACAAAAATCAATTGTATTAAAATATATGTTAGCAATGAATGAGAAAAAAATTTAAGAAACAATTCTACTTCACAAGACACTGTTAAAAGAAATTAAAGAGAATCTAAATGACTAGAAAGACATCCCATGTTCAAGGACTAGAAGATTTAATATTCTTAGGATAGCAACATTTCCCAAATTGATCTACAGATTCAACACAATTCCTATGAAAATTCCAACTGTGTTGTTTCGCAGAAATGGACAAGCTGATTCTAAAAATCATGTGGAAATGCAACGGACCCTGAAGAGTCAAAGCAATGTTGAATAAGAAAAACGAAATTGGGCCAGGTGTGGTGGCTCGTGCCTGTAATCTCACTTTGTGAGGCCAAGGCAGGTGGATTCCCTGAGGTTAGGAGTTCGAGACCAGCCTGACAAACATAAAGAAACCCCATCTCTATTAAAAATACAAAATTAGCCGGGTGTGGTGGCACGTGCCTGTAATCCCAGCTACTTGGGAGACTGAGGCAGGAGAATCAGTTGAACCTGGGAGGCAGAGGTTGCAGTGAACTGAGATGGCGCCATTGCACTCCGGCCTGAGCAATACAGTAAGACTCCATCTCAAAAAAGAAAAAGAAAAGAAAAATGAAGTTGGAGGACTCACATTTCTTGATTTCAGTTTCCTATAGTAATGGTGTAGTACTGGAATAACAACAGGCACACAGACCAAGGGTGCCAAGACCATTTAATGGGGCAAAGAACAGTCTTTTCAACAAAGGATGCCGAGACAACTGGACAGCCACATACAAAATAAAGTAAGACCTCTATTTCATATCTACATATAAAAATTAATTTAAAATGAACCATAGACTGAAGTATAAGAGCTAACACTAAAATAACTCTTAAAACATACACAGGCCAGGTGTGGTGGTTCACGCTTGTAATCCCAGCACTTTGGGAGGCTGATGTGGGCGGGCCACCTAAGGTCAGGAGTTCAAGACCAGCCTGGCCAACATGGTGAAACCCTGTCTCTACTAAAAATACAAAAAAATTAGTCAGGTGTGGTGGTGGACACCTGTTAATCCTAGTTACTCCAGAGGCTGAGGCAGGAGCATTGCTTGAACCCGGGAGGTGGAGGTTGCAGTGAGC